CCCCACTCCACAAAGGGGCAGTAAAGCAACAGCAAAGAACTACAGACCAATAGCACTAACATACCATATCAAAAAATCTTTGAAGGGTCCTAAGAAGCAAGATCACCACCCATCTAGAAACCCATCAGTTACACAACCCAGGGCAACATAGGTTTAGAACAGGTCGCTCCTGTCTGTCTCAACTATTGGATCACTACGACAAGGTCCTAAATGCACTAGAAGACAAAAAGAATGCAGATGTAAAATATACAGACTTTTCCCAAAAGCCTTCGACAAGTGTGACCATGGCGTAATAGCGCACAAAATGCGTGCTAAAGGAATAACAGGAAAAGTCGGTCGATGGATCTATAATTTCCTCACTAACAGAACACAGAGAGTAGTCGTCAACAGAGTAAAGTCCGGGGCAGCTACGGTGAAAAGCTCTGTTCCACAAGGCACAGAAACTCGCTCCCATCTTGTTCCTCATCCTCATATCCGACATAAAACAAGGATGTCAGCCACACACCGTGTTTTCCTTTTGGGCAGATGACACCCGAATCTGCATGACAGTGTCTTCCATGCAGACACTGCAAGGCTCCAGGCGGACCATCAACCAAATTTTTCAGTGGCTGCAGAAAACAATATGAAGTTCAACGATGAGAAATTTCAATTACTCAGATAGGGTAAACATGAGGAAATTAAATCTTCATCAATTTACAAAACAAATTCTGGCCACAAAATAAGCGAAACCCCAAACGTCAAGACCTGGGAGTGATTATGTCGGAGGATCTCACCTTCAAGGACCATAACTTTGTATCAACCCGCATCTGCTAGAAAAATGTCAGGATGGATAATGAGAACCTTCAAAACTAGGGAGGCCAAGCCCATGATGAAAACTCTTCGGGTCCTTGTTCTATCTAGGCTGGAATATTGCTGCACACTAACAGCACCTTTCAAGGCAGGTGAAATTGCCGACCTAGAAAATGTACAGAGAACTTTCACGGCCGCATAACGGAGATAAAACACCTCAATTCCCTTGGGAGCCCCTTGAGGTTCCTAAAACCTGTATTCCCTGGAACGCAGGAGGGAGAGATACATGATTTATACACCTGGAAAATCCTAGGGGGACAGTACCGAACTTTGCACACGAAAATCACTCACTACGAAAGCAAAGACTTGGCAGACGTTTGCACCATCCCCCCAATGAAAAGCGGGGGTGTCACTAGCACTTTTAAGAGCCCAAATACAATAAGTGTCAGGGGCCCGAGACTGTTCAACTGCCTCCCAGCACACATAAGGGGGATTACCAACAGACCCCTGGCAGTCTTCAAGCTGGTACTGGACAAGCACCTAAAGTCAGTTCCTGATCAGCCGGGCTGTGGCTCGTACGTTGGTTTGCGTGCAGCCAGCAGCAACAGCCTGGTTGATCAGGCGCTGATCCACCAGGAGGCCTGGTCACAGACCGGGCCGCGGGGGCGTTGACCCCCGGAACTCTCTCCAGGTAAACTCCAGGAAGGCGGCTTATGATTGTGTAGAGAGAGAGACATTATGGATGATTATGAGGAGGATGGGTTTCGGTGAGGAAATTGTGCAGTGGGCGGAAACTTTATATAGAGGTGCAGAAATACGAGTGCAAATAAATGGAAGGGGGGGGAAGATGGTTAGTATGGGTAGGGGGCTGAGGCAGGGATGCCCCATGTCTCAGATCCTATTTGCATGTCTGCAAGACCCATTATATAGGATGATAAATGTAGGAGTAAGTGAGGGGGGGGTAAGACTTAGGGGTGCTACGGGTATAGTTGGTTATGTGGATGACACGAGGGTCTTAGTGGGGGAGAGGGGGGGTTTAAAGAATGTAAGTAGAATTGTTGAAATATTTAGGGGAAGCAACAGGTATGAGTGTTAATAGTGAAAAGTCGAAATTACTGGAGGTGGGTCATGGGTGGGAGGGGAACCGGGGAAAAAAGTATGGATGGCAGGTAGTAGAGCAGATAAAAATTTGTGGAGTATTGTACAGAGGGGCAGCGCAGGGGCTAGAGAGGCAAATTCTAAAAGGGTAGTGCAAAAGAGTATTGCTTAGGTTAGGGGGAATAAGAACGATGGTTTGACTATACAACAGAGAGTCATTGTAGTTAATACACTCATTTATCCTAAATTGTGGCACGTGGCTGTGGTGTACCCATTGATGGCGAAAGACGTGCGGCAAGTGCAAAGGAAAGTTCTGAATTTTATATGGGGATATGGTTGTCATTGGCTTTAGGCAGACGGTTGTAATGACACCACTGGCAAAGAGGGGTTAGGTTTAATTCCTTTGGGTACAGACCGAAGAGCATGTACGTGAAGCATTGTTATCTGAGATTTGGGTGGGGAACATGGTGTCAGAGTGGGGGGATGGGGATGGAAATGTGGGGGCGTGGGGGGGGGTTTGGGACTTAGAGGAGTGTATGAGTATGTTGAGATACTTATTACAAGTAAGAAAAACCGGAAAATGTAACGGCGTGTGTTTTTTGGGAGGTTGGTAAGGTGTCAAGAGGTGTTGGAAGGGGAGGACTGTTTTTCCATTATATAATTGGACACGAATCTGGGGAGATTTCAGTAAGTTACGGGTGAAGTCAAGGGTGAGGAAACTATGTATAGGGTTTTTACATGGGATTTTTGCCAACTAAAGTACGACTGTATCAGATGGGGAAATTTTGCAGTCTCAATGTTGTGTTTTGTGTGGGGGGGGAGGAAACAGCATAAACAGTGGTGTATTTCTGTGAGCATATCGAGAGGGCACGTCTATGGTTTCGCAGAGTGTTGGATATGGTGGGTGGGAGTAGGTTAGTGGTATTAAGGGCACTGAGTTTGGATATAGAGGGAGTGGGAGATAGTGTGAGGAGGCCCGTCACGTATTTAGTGGCAGATTATATCTACATATCGTGGGTGATAAGGGAGGTGGGGAAGTTGGGGGGGAGGAACGAACAAGGGCTTTAGCAGGACATTTCTATAAAACAAAGTGTATAAATGAGGTAAAGTATGGACGTAGATGGGCTATAGATTTTCCGGTATCGTACAGAGCTATGACTGTGAGAGGGTTGCGCGATTTAGTGTTGTAATGGCTGGGTGGACTGGTCTGTAAAAGGGGGGAGGGAAAAATGAATTACATGGATATAGAATATCATGATTATTAAGCATTGTTTTCCTGAAAAGCGAGAGGCGGCTTATCAATTCGATTAGGGGCTATAATGTTGTATTATTAACCATAGTGTGTGAAAGAGCAAGTCTGAAATTGCTCTGAAACATGTCAATAAACATCTAGAATTTGTTGAACATGACAATACGTGTTTAATAATATACATTCTTGGTATATGTAATACAAGTGTGTTTCAATATCCAGTGTACAGTTATCATTTAGTTTGACATTCTTCACTATAGTAAAGTTTTTGTTATTATTTATATATTGTCCATAAAGTGTAATAGTTGTTAGTATTTTAAAAGTTCTTTGAATAGTTTTAAAATGTTGTGGAGTCTAGTGTTTGTGTTATTTTTTTTTTTTGCACTGTGGAAAAGGAGGGGAAGTATGTAAGTCATTACGATGGAATCATAAAACCCCATAAAACTGCATGGTGTACAATATAATAGCAGTTAATATTTGTATTAAAATTTTTTAGTAAATTTCATGATAAGTATAATTAAAATTTTCATGCATATTGTAATATATTTGAATGATAAAAAGCATAATTTTTTGTAATCTTTTATTTAGTAAAAGGACAAAAAAACACAGGATAAGGGATACTTCATGTCAGCTCACAGATAAACGTGTAAATGTATTGCGAATATGTAAATTCATTTTTTCTGTGGAGGACCTGCTAAGGCTTCTTTTATTTATTAATGCATTGCAATGTTTTAAACTAAAAATGAGAATGTATGGAGTATATAAAACTGTTGAAGTACATGTTCACCATTGTGGTTTAGCGCAACTTTTTGAGTATAATAATAACAATAACGTAAATGTTGGGGGGGGTGACCTGGAGTTTACCTGGAGAGAGTTCCGGGGGTCAACGCCCCCGCGGCCCGGTCTGTGACCAGGCCTCCTGGTGGATCAGAGCCTGATCAACCAGGCTGTTGCTGCTGGCTGCACGCAAACCAACGTACGAGCCACAGCCCGGCTGGTCAGGAACTGACTTTAGGTGCTTGTCCAGTGCCAGCTTGAAGACTGCCAGGGGTCTGTTGGTAATCCCCCTTATGTGTGCTGGGAGGCAGTTGAACAGTCTCGGGCCCCTGACACTTATTGTATGGTCTCTTAACGTGCTAGTGACACCCCCGCTTTTTCATTGGGGGGATGTTGCATCGTCTGCCAAGTCTTTTGCTTTCGTAGTGAGTGATTTTCGTGTGCAAGTTCGGTACTATCCCTCTAGGATTTTCCAGGTGTATATAATCATGTATCTCCCCTCCTGCGTTCCAGGGAATACAGGTTTAGGAACCTCAAGCGCTCCCAGTAATTGAGGTGTTTTATCTCCGTATTGCGCGCCGTGAGTCACTAGTATTGTAAGTGCTTTGTGTCATTTTACATTATGAAAAAAACAGTGATGGAAGCACTGTGTATTTTGCAGTAGTGTGTTAGTTATGTAGTTAGGTGTATATCAGAATCATTATGAATAGTGTTACTTAGTGGACCGGAACACACCCACTGATAATGCCTCTTTTTATATATATTTATATCACATTTATATACGTAACTATCTATGTAAATTGTATGAACTGTTTTAAATAAAAAAAAATTGTTATCTGTTTACAATAATGTTTTAAACCCCTGATACTTTTATTGCTTAGTTAATCTTAAGTTAATTTTAAAGCCTGCCAGTAATGCTATGCATTCAAGTGGCTTTGGCATGCTGCATTTAACTGTATTCTTTTGTGCTTCTCTGTATCATGTTCAAATTAATAAATAAATATATAAAATAAATAAATAAATAAATAAACATGACAGGACACCACCAACATAAACTCTATTAGTGTAACTGTGAAGACGGACTTACCTGTATAATGGTGAGTCAATGTCAAGAAAACTAATACGAAGGATTTTCGGTAGAGATTCTTCATGTTGATGTGTGGAAGTCAGTTAATAATGAGGTAGTATGATTAGGTAGATGCAGGCAGCTCAGAGTTAGGTCTCTAGTATCTTGTCATTCGATTCGATTCCACGTCAATGGGAGCGCCGGTATCGCCCAGAGCCACCACGTCTGCACCGGTTGGAAGGTAATGTGCGACTAGTTACATATTGCTGAATCAGGAAGCAGCGTCTTATTCCAACCAATCAGAGCACTGTTTGGTTATCTTGCTCGTCTGTTGGTGTGAGCACACGTGCGCTGCTGCCCTCTCTCGGCGTTTGGAAGACTTCCTGTTTTTTTCCAATATGGTGGCCTGGTGGCTAAAGCTCCCGCTTCACACACGGAGGGCCCGGGTTCGATTCCCGGCGGGTGGAAACATTTCGACACGTTTCCTTACACCTGTTGTAATGTTCACCTAGCAGCAAATAGGTACCTGGGTGTTAGTCGACTGGTGTGGGTCGCATCCTGGGGGACAAGATTAAGGACCCCAATGGAAATAAGTTAGACAGTCCTCGATGACGCACTGACTTTCTTGGGTTATCCTGGGTGGCTAACCCTCCGGGGTTAAAAATCCGAACGAAATCTTATCTTATCTTCTTACTGTGGGCATCCAGCTGGTTCGCGGGGCGATTTCGCCGCAAGCTGCTCCTGTGCTGTTGCCATTAATCATCCGGGATACGTATGGTATACAGGATGAAGAACTGTATGGTGTAGCACTTAATGGCGCATACAGGGTGTTTGTTAAGTTGTTGAACACCGGCGTCTATGAGAGGCTAGTAGAGAAATACCAGGATGTGCGAGTGGACGTCAATTCTAGGGTGAGTGTCCGCCTTCATGACGTCTCCAGGCACATTAGAGTGCGAAATGTACCTTTGGAGGCTGATGAAACGGACATACGCAATGTTTTCAAGGACTACGGGACCGTTCAACTGGCACAGCCCGGCAAGTGGGTAGAAGGTGCGTATGTGGGATTCCCAGAGGGCACGTTTTCACTGAAAATGACGATACGGCACCCCATACCGTCATATGTTATATTGGAGGCCTTCAGGACTCAGCTCGTGGTTTCCGACAACAACGTTCTACCCAAGACGCTTTGAATATAATCCTGAACTATATACGTATCAATAAAGCCCAGAACTGTACCTCCACCCTTGTAGCCAAAGATGTAGAGAAAGCTTTTGACACTGTTTGGCATGAAGGATTAAAATACAAACTTTGCACGTCCTTTGAATTAACTGTAAATGTGATGAAATTATTATGTCACTTTTTAGATGGCCGAACGATGCGTATACGGTTCAGAGATCATTATTCGGACTATTTCACATTAAAAGCGGGTGTACCCCAAGGCTCTGTCCTGTCTCCCACCCTATATATACTCTACACGAATGATTTACCTGAACCTCTTTACCCAAACACACTTACCCTTTCTTACGCAGACGACATCACTCAACTCACAACACATGAAAACATTTGTTTCCTAGCACGCCGAACACAAAGAGAGGTCGACAGGATTACCGCCTGGGAATTATTATGGCGCATCAAAACCAACCCAAATAAGTCAAAGATCACTTACTTCCATAGAAGGCGTGATGTCCCGACTCTTGTCTAACTCAAAACAAGCACCTCCCGTACCCCAGTAAGTTATCAAAAAACCTTTAGAGCATTAAAACGCCAGCCAACTCAGTCGTATGTAGATTTTGCACGTGAAAAGAAAATCACTTTTGAGAGATGGTGTAGAGCTTCTAACTGTTGATCCTGCATGAGGATTTCTATAATAATTTACCAGAAGACTTGCATAGGTATTTGATTAGTTGCCCCATAGTAAATATACTAGAAACAGCCTCGCTCGCCGATAATTATGAAATATCTCAACAATTGATTGGCGAAACAAAAAGTAAGGAAACAGTGACTAAATATGCCCCTAAGAAAGGACGATCCAATCTTAGAGATGCGTCGCATACAGAATCCTTGCCCGACCTCCTATTTTGCCTCCACACCCATTAATAATAAATTTAGATCTAACTCTAGGAAAAGTTCAAAACCACTAAGGCATAACAGTGAGTTGAACTGCACTTATTGTAATAAAAAAGGGCATTTAAGGAAACACTGTTATTGGCTAGAGAGGGATACCAGGAACAAGCGACTTCGTTTCCCAACTCAGGTAATATCTTCATCGACAACTCAAAAGAAACTGAACCCTAGTACCGAACAAGGTTCGCAAGAGCGAATCAGTAGTCATTCTAGATGACTCAATACTAGAGCTATTTCAGAACAAGATAGACGAGGCTCAATTAGTTGAAGTTAATTCCTTCCGTGATACTGGAAGTTATTTAACCTTATTAAAGGAGGGCATACTTCCCGTAAGTGATATGACTCGCACCAAGCTAGATGTGTTATTAGAAGCCTATGGAGGCGCCATTATAAGAGTACCTCTCCACAGGATATACATCCAAACACCAACCTATACTGGCTTTGTGTCGGTAGGTATATCCAGTGAAGCTTTTCCTATTCAGGGCGTTGACTTACTCATAGGCAATGATCTAGACTATCTGGGTATAAGCCGAGAGCCTCTAGTTATTGATAATTCTATTGACATTAACTATGCCATAGAAGCTCGAAAAGAGGCTCCTACCTTATTTCCTCTCAATGTTATAACTAGAGCAATGTCTAGAGCGCCTCAAAATCCTTTGTCAACTGAAGTCCTAAGTGAAGGAGAAGATTTAGGTCTCGGTTTATTGTTCAGTCGATCCTTACAACCCGGATCTTCAAATCTGAAATACTCTATGATCGGCCCTTTTCAAGATTCTGATATTAAAATGTTATCGAAAGAAGATATAATAAGGGATCAGTTCCTCGATCCATCCCTAGAGAAATTACGAGAGATATCTATTACAGAAGACGACGCCCAAGACCTGGAAAATTGTTACTATCTTGCCAATGGTATATTAATGAGAAAGGAAAAGTCTCTTTTGTCTTCCGACGATCATCTGTCTACCAGCGAACATCTAGTAGTGCTACCTAACACCTTTAGAGAATTGGCTATTAGTTTCGTCCACCATAGTCCCATGGGAGGACATTTGGGAGTAAAGAAAACACTGGGCAAAATAGCCAAGCATTTTCATTGGCCCAGAATGAAGGAGACTGTGGAAAGCAATCTAAAAAGTTGTCAAGTCTGCCAAGTGACCGGCAAACCTTCGCACACACCTCCACCAGTTCCCCTCATTCCGATTCCCGTCAGTGGTGAGCCCTTCTCACGCCTGATAATAGATTGTGTTGGTCCGTTACCCAGGACTAAAGGGAAACAATATCTGTTTACAACTATGGATGTCGTTACTCGATATCCGGAGGCTATCCCTTTGAGAAAAATTAATTCTCGCATCATTGTTCGAGCTTTGCAAAAAATTTTCTCTCAGGTGGGGATTCCCCGAATAATTCAATCCGATCAAGGTTCAAATTTTACCTCTAAGATGTTTCGCGATGCCTTATCTCGCCTCGGAATTAAGTCTGTATTTTCTGTTGCTTATCACCCTCAGTCACAAGGAGCCCTCGAACGATTTCATCAAACATTAAAATCAATGTTGAGAGCGTACTGCGAGCAGTTTTCCCGAGATTGGGACGAGGGAACACCATTTCTCTTGTTCGCCTTAAGGGAAAGCGAACAAGAAAGCACTGGGTTTAGTTCATTTGAATTAATTTACGGACACCAAGTACGCAGCCCCCTCGCCGTACTGAAAGATTCATGGACCGGAAAATCAGAACACTCGTTTAAAACAACTCCAACTCTAATGCAAAAGCGTTTGTCACAACTGAGGGAATTAGCCTCAAAAAACTTAGTTAAGGCCCAATCCAAGATGAAGCATTGTTATGACAAACACACACGCTCTCGTTTCTTCAAACCAGGTGACAGTGTGATGGCACAGAAATTTTTACCTGGACACGCTCTGCAACCTAGATACGAAGGTCCTTTGGAAGTGATTGAGCGGCTCAATGAGGCAAATTATGTACTACAAACTCCAGGAAAGAGAAAAGCAAAACGTACTTATCACATAAACCAACTTAAGGCTTACCACCCTAGTATCGTACCAATTACAGTTCTTCCTTTAGCTGAAACTGAAAATGTACGTCTGCCCAGCATCTCTAAAGCAATAGATGTACGTTTTAAAAAATTCAGAGACATTGCAATCTCTTGATACCTTTCTTATGGACCTTGATTTTAAAAAAGCAAAAGATATCAAAGACTTGATATTACGTTATGAGGTTTTATTCGATGACGTTCCTAGGTGTTGTACATTGGGAATTCACGACATAGATGTACAAGGAGCTAAGCCTTGCAAACAGTCACCTTACAGGGCAAGTCCACTCAAACAAGAAGCATTAAACAAAGAAGTAGAATTCTTGTTTTCCCATGGACTCATAGAACGAAGTAAAAGTCCGTGGGCCTCGCCCCGTATATTAGTTCCCAAGCCTGATGGAACTTCTAGAATGTGCACTGATTATCGTAAGGTTAATGCTCTCACGGTACCGGATGGTTTCCCACTGCCCCGTATTGATGATCTAATAGACAGAGTATCAGGAGCCGCCTATGTTACCCGCCTGGATTTATTAAGGGGCTATTACCAAGTGCCGTTTACCCAGCGAGCCCAAGAAATATCTGCATTTACTATACAAGGCAGATTATTCAATTATCGCGTTATGCCCTTTGGGTTGTGTAACGCGGCCTCTACCTTTCAGCGCCTGATGAACCTGCTGACCAATGATTCAGGAGTAGATGCATATCTAGATGATCTTGTTATATATAGCAATGGGTGGGAGCAACATTTAATTCACTTGGAAACCTTATTTAAGAAGTTAGAAAAAGTACAACTTCACCATAAATTTAGCCAAGTGTCAGTTTGGACAAGCCAAGATTAAATACCTCGGTTTTTGTATAGGCCAGGGTGAGGTACGACCTGTTGATGTAAAAGTTAGAGCCATTGCCGAGTTTCCTATCCCTCAAGATAGAAAGCCTGTACAGAGGTTCCTTGGAATGACTGGTTATTATCGACGTTTCTGTCCTAATTTTTCTCAGGTTGCATCTCCTCTTACTGAGTTGACCAGTAGTAAGATGAAGTTTTGCTGGTCGAAAGATTGTGAGATAGCTTTTAATCGGTTG